TAGTCGCTTGTCTTTTAGTTTCAACTCACAGGTGAACGCGGAGCGTCATCCCTGCACTGTCAACAGGCCCATGTCCAAGCAAGCGGCCCATTCCAGTTCATCGGCTTCCATTTGGAGCCCTCGATCCTCCTTCAGACTGGCATGCCTCAATGTTCGCACATTGCTTCAGATCGGTCAACAGGCAGCTCTTGCCCGAACATTAGAGACACTCTCCATCGATGTCTGCTGCTTATCGGAGATCCGCCTGCAAGACTCGAGCTCTGTACTCACTCTGGGATCCCCTTCAGGTGACACTAGCAGCACTTTCTCATTGCGCCTATCCGGTGACGATGCTGCTTCGAGCACCGGCCAAGCCGGTGTTGGTATTGCTCTCAGTACCCGGGCTGAAGCTACTCTGGTTGATTGGATTCCAATCAGTAGCCGGATGTGTGCGGTCCGATTGGCTGGGTCATTCAAAACTTCGAAGTTGCGTGAGACTAACAGGTGTCTATTCGTTATCGCTGCCTATGCACCGACAAACTGTAGCCATGACTCGGTAAAGGACGACTTCTATCGTCAGCTGAACGAGCTCCTTAGCCACAGAAGAAGCTCGGACACTGTAGTGCTGGCCGGGGATCTGAACGCGCAAGTTGGAAAATTATCCACAGATGAGCTGCATCTGGGCGACCAACATGGTATAGGCTCCCGTAATGATAACGGTGAGCGGTTACTTCATTTGTGTGAGGATGTTCGCTTATTTCTTGCGAGCACTAATTTCCGACACAGCACCCGCCGGAGGGTGACTTGGCGTCCACCAGCCTCGAACCAGCTATGGACGCAAACCGATCACATTGCGATACTTCACCGATGGAGTGACTGCGTCCAGAAGTGTCGCTCGATTTGGAGCACAGGTGTTGACACCGACCATCCACTTGTATGTGCTGACTTGCGGATGCGCTTTGGCGGACGCCTTCGACGATGTTGTGAACGCATTGACACCGGCCAACTGGCGAAGCCAGGTGTTCTGAACGCCTATCAAAGTACGCTGTCATGCGAGTTGGATAAACGCTCACTGGATGCAGTTGAAGCTCACTAGTCTCATATTCACCAGACCTTACTTGCAGCAGGAAAATCCTTATGTGGTGTGTCTAATCGCCAACATGGACATTGGGTCTCTTCACAGTCTCTGGAAGTTATAGATGCTCGCCGGCATATTCCGGCTGGAAGCGAACACAATGAAACTCGCAAAGAGCTCTGGGCGAAACTCCGTGCTAGCCTGAAGAGAGACCACGAATCCTGGTGGTCTCATCGTGCAACAGAGATGGAAATGGCCGCTGCCCTTGGTAACCATGGTAAGTTATTCCGTCTGATACGGGAAACGGGCAGCAGGAGACCTGATGTTAGTGAAACTATACGTGACGAGAGTGGACAGCCTATCCACAACTTATCAAAACGCTTGGAACACTGGGCTGAGCACTTTGAAAGGCAATTTAATCGGTCGGAATTGTTAGATTTCTCGCCGACCAGTGATCGCCCTGCTCCGTGGGCTGTTCCTTTGGATCCACGCTCTCGCTCAGAAATCGAACGTGAGATCGAACTGTTGAAGTTATATAAAGCCGCAGGACCTGAGACTGAGACTGTATTTAAGAGCAAGTAGAAAGGTTTCTATACAACTCTATCGAATTACGAAAAATCAAAAACATTTAGTTGTGAATCATCGGCAGTTGGGTCGGGTCCGTTAATCGTTTATCCGTGTTCGGTTAGGAATTTGTATTGGTGTCATTATTTCCGGGCATACAATGTCTTCTTTTGGCATTGTATGTGCATCGTTTCACAAAAGCACAGTTTTCCGAAATAATCGTCGATACGCGTTTTAAAACACCTGATGACCTTCCTCCAGCCCTTTTCAAATTCGGGGGACCTGCTCTTGTGGATGATTTACACGAGTTACTAGTTAAACTGTGAAAGCAGGAAACTGTCCCAACCGATTGGAGCCGCTCCATCATAGTCCCAATTTTCAAGGGAGGCTCACGATCGGGATGCGGCAGTCATAGAGGAATCAGTCTGATCTCCATCGCCTCCAAATTGCTTGCCTCTGTCATTATTCACAGACTGCCTGGCACTGGTGAAAGCCAGATTCGTGAAGAGCAAGCTTGGTTTCCTCGAGGTCATGGCTACATTGATCACATATTCCCTTTGCGTCAGTTGTTGGAGCACCGTCACACATATTGGCGGCCCACCATTGTCGTGTTCCTCGATATCAAAGGTGCATTCGATTCGGTGGATAGACATGCACTTTGGGACTGTCTGCTCAGGAAAGGTGTACCTGAGAAATATGTGAATATTATCCGAGCATTATATGCGCGTAGCTCGGGCAGAGTGAGGGCTTACGGCAAGTTGTCGTGGCCCTTTAATATCTCCAGCGGCGTGAGACGAGGATGCCCGCTGTCACCTTTCCTCTTCAACTTCGCTGTTGACGAAGTCATGGAAATCGCGTTCACAGGACACGACTTAGAAGGTGTGAGCTACTCCCAGGAGAACGACTTTTTGACTTAGAGTATGCTGATGATATTGCCCTGATCTGTAACGGCTCACAAACGTGCCAAGCGGCACTGGACAGATTAGCACTAGCTGTTCGTCACTTCGGGCTTTGCATCGCACCCTCGAAGTGCAAAGCGTTCCTCCAAGATTGTCAGGGACCGCCTCCTTCGCTGACCCTTGGTAGGGATCAGCTAGAAGTCGTTCAAAAATTCAACTACCTGGGAAGTTGTATCAGCGCCCTTGGGATTGAAGACGAAATCACGAATCGTATAGCAAAAGCTCGAGGCGCTTTTGCTAACCTTCGCCACTTATGGGGGCGGCGCGACATCACCCTTGCGCTGAAGGGTAGGGTGTACAATGCAACGGTACGTTCGACCCTGCTGTACGGTTGGGAAACTTGGCCGCTTAAAGCAGCGGACCTGAAGAGGCTATATATATATATATTATACACAATCTGTGGTACAGATATTGTGTCATCGGAATCATGGCTGAATAGGAAAACAATATGAATAATAAGAAAAGAGCAACAAGAAATGCTTTTTTTGTCAAGTTTACCACTCACAGTTTTTGAAATTTTTTTCAGGCTACTTACATTCGACCACCGGTGCTTTCGCAATTTAGCTCACATCTGGTGGGAACACCGCGTGAGCAACGAGCGTGTTCCATGCCTTGTTTATGGCACAGGAAAAGGAACTGAACCGCTCAGCACCGTCATTTCACGCATCAGGCTCCGATGGCTCGGCCACGTGTTACGCATGCCAGCCCACCGACTCCCTCGACGTGTGTTGCTTGCGCGCCGGGGGTGTGGACGGAAGAAGAGGAGGGGTGGCCAAGCGATGACTTGGTCCAGAGGAATGAAGGCTCTCACTTCTGAGCTGGCCTCGGTTGGAGCGTCTCGACTCCCTGGTTGGGGTCCAAAAGACGATGAACACGTTTGGCTGGATACACTTGCTGACATGGCAAGGAGCCGACCTCAGTGGCGTTCCTGCTGTGAGTTTCTTTGTCCCACCCCATTCCTCTTAGCCTCCCCCTCCAACCACGATCTCATCATTTAGCGTTTTATAATTTTGCATAGTAATTTTTTTTGGTGCACAGCAGCCGGCTGGTAGCTTACCGGAACGATGCCCATCCGTTACCGTAGCTCAGCCAGGTTGCACCAGTTGCATTTTTTCTCCTTTTTTCTATGTATTGCGGCTCAGTAACTGAGGTATTCCCCACCTCTAGTTAATGTGTATCATGATGATGATGAACGACCACACAGGATACACTAAAAGCAGTCGCCGCTGCAAACAGATTATACTATGATATAAGAAGATCGTTCTGTCAAAGGTCGTTTGGCTGGATGCACTTGCTGACATGGCTAGGAGCCGACCTCAATGGCCTTGGCACTGTGAGGTTCTTTGTCCCTCCTCATCTTTCTCAACTTCCTCCTCCAACCATGATCTCACTTAATATAATATAATTTTGTATAAATTTTTTTGCTGCATAGTAGCTGGCTGTTAGTTTTCCGGAAAGATACCCATCCGTTCCTGGTAGCTCAGCTAGCATCCATCTGTTGCTTGTTTTTTTTTATGTATTGCGGCACAGTAGCTGAGGTGTTTTCCACCTCTAGCTAACGTGTATAATGATAATCTCTCAATTGTCACCGATGATCTTCAGGCTCCTGTTCACTTTCCATGTACGACCGATTCTAGAGTATGGGCTACCAGCTACTTTTCCACTCGCTAAGATTGAATGTGCCTTAATCGAAGAGGTCCAGAAGCGTGGCTCTAAGTCCATTTTCGGGTTTCTTGTTCTTCCCTACTCCCTCCGAGTTCGGGAAATGATTGTTTTCCATGGAATACCGTCGCTGTCGTGGAGACCTTATCTTTACGAGACGCATACTAAGAGGGGAACTTGGTAACAAGTTACAGCAACTTTTTCAGATCAGCATAGGTGGCTCTACACGAGTTCACAACTAGAAGCCATTCAAACCAAGGACGCTCAAAATCGGTACCACTGTCGCTCTCTCTGCTCGCGTAGTGAATGGCTGGAATTGCCTACCGGCGACTGGCATTGATACGACGACCGATGAAAGATTCGAACAGCTCTTAGGTACTTGCCTGCGCAAGACGCCAAGGCCGCACTGTCCTACTGCGACTGCTCTAGTTCCCTGAGGACTACCGGGTCGCGTTGACATACCTGTTTTTAGTGTTGAACTGTTGGTTCAGAGGCTAACATGACTCTTCCCTTCTGCCTTCTACAACTCAGTGAACTCAACAAATGTAACTATATTGCAAATTGTCCGGAACCTCGTGGTCCACTATCCAAGAAGACTATGGTTACTCTGGTTCTTGTTTCCCTTCGTTTACAGAAACAAGAAGAGAAGTGCCGGGAATCCTGGTTTGCTTGCAGTTACAAGAATCATTACGCTTGTTAGTAGGAAGCCTGACCTGGTCCAATCTCCTGTCCTTGAGACTGTTGCCTGCGTCTAACGTCGAATGAAAACACGGGGGATTCTGTTCTGTCTACTGCCTCTTGTTTTACTATTTACCTTGCTCTGTGGATATTTATGGTCATGTGAGATTTGCAAGCATGAGTTGACCGTCATTAGGTAATTTTCTTTCGAAAACAGGCCTTTCGAAGAAGATATTCGTTCTGACAGCCACTTATCCTCGGTCCGTCCAACGAGCTGAACTTACTCGTCTGTGCAATACACTGAAGCATGTACCCAACATTCACTGGATAGTTTGTGAAGACATCTCTGTTGCATCAACGTAAGTTTTAAGAGTTTTTCCTTAATTGTTTGGTGCGGTTTCTGAAGGAATCCGTTGACCGTTTTACTAATCCCCATAGAGTAAGAAGGCGGTCAATAGTTTGACTTACTTATTTTATGTTCCGGAATGCTGGGTCGATGCTGTAGTTTAGGGTCAGGCGGGGGGAGTGCTGTTCATCTACTTTACCAGAGCATTTGACGCAGCCACTTGTCTTGCCTAACCCACAGTCAGGGCGTCTGCGTTGGATAATGACATTCTTCATGTCGGCCCAGATTGATGGCCACCTTTCCTATATGGGCTTGTTTTTTGGTACTCAGAGAGAAAAGAAATGGTGTAATATGTATAAATATAGTTCAAGTCAGGTCAATTCTCAGGGACCAATGTCCCTTTTCGTGTATCATTAATCAAGCTATGGCACCCGGCAGTTCGATGTTCAAAGTTCCTCACTTCTGCAGACGGAGAAAAGGAGTACGAGCAATATATCATGATTTCATACAATTTCCAGTACATCCGATCGACCACGGGCTGTTTGGTATATACCCACTACTCTCAGTACGGTTCTGAAAACAGAGTCAACCAGTTCATATCTTTGCTTCTTTCAAGTCTTTTACCATATTACATTTCATTAGTGCAAGGGAAAGTCAATTCCAATTTTGCACCGCTCGGTCCACTAAAAACCTCGCCCAGATGCCCAGTCTTGGCCCCTTCTGCATAATCTTTAGACGGTGTCCCCGCAGGTTGTCCGACGTAGCTCGTTCAGAGATCGGTAATCTTAATGCCACTGAGACTCTTCCATCAGGTCTCCTCTCAATCAGCTTTGTTCCAGTGGGAACAAGCCTAAACAAGTTAGTAGGTCAACAGACGACTTTTCCGGATGATTTTTAGTCTTCTTACTGGCCACTGTGCTTTTAAACAAACGGCCTCCTTTCGAAGATATATTGTTCAATCCTGAGCACAATACTCTAACCCGCTTTGTGCAACGGGAAGAATACCTCAGGTTTGTTATTGCACAATGCTTTCCTTAGGCGAGGGAGCTCCTTCCACGCCTTGCTAATAGCATGTTAACACTGCGCCGAAGGCCTGAAACTATCCACCATGACGACCTCCAAGTCCCTTGTTTTATCTGCACTGCAACGTCAGGAGCTTACTGGAAGTTCACACCGTAACCCCGTGGTTGCTTGATATCAAAACTTAACATTTGTTGGAATTCAGTGGCACATTCCATAATTCCGACCATTTTACTAAAGTACCCATGTCTTTGAACAACGTGTTTCTATTTCCCATAATGACGAGCTTTACATCGTCTACAAATACGTAACAAAGGTCCTCAAAGAGTGGAGCGGAGTTCTTTATAAACGTAAGGAACAACAATGGCCCCAACGCAGAACTCGAATGAACGCCGCTATGAGCAGTGCCCATACTAGGTCTGGCGTCATCAATTCTGACATGGAGTGTTCTGCTACAGAGGAAATCCGACAACCAAGTCATCACTTGAGGATACAATTCAAGGCGAGTCAACCTCTCTAGTAAAAGTCGATAAATAACCGAGTCCAAGGGCTTTGCCGACGTTCAGGTAGCAGACCTCTACTGAAACCGCGATATCAAGGCATCGAGTTATTTTCTCGAAAATACATAACAGGTTCGTAGGACATGCCTTTTTTCTGCTGAAGCCATGTTACGCTCCTATGGAATTGTTAACAACCAAGTGTTTGCTAACTCAGTTTAAAATGCTTCTCCGGGCACTTAATCAGAACAGGTCTGTACTTGAGTGACATCTACCTGGAGCCCCCGTTACGAATTGCCACAATACTCGCCTCTTTCGAGTCTGGTGATAGCGTGCCTTCTCTAAGCGAACTGTTGAAAAGTCCAAATGGGATACTGGAGAATATCAGGAAACGGTTTGTTAATTATGGATTAAACGTTGTCCGGACCTGCTGATTTATAGGGATTTAAACTACATAGCACCTAAAAGTCCTCAAATATAGTAAATACAGCGTCCTGCATTTCACTTTCATATGAGCTAGCACCACGGGGGGTAGTTCGGCAAGCACGATCAGTCATGCGTAGGACATGTTTGAGTCACCTCAGTTTGCGCAAGAACACGGGCCTGTTGAGAGCAAGGTCTGTATCACCCAAGACTAAGTGTCAAGCATTGTTTTTGCATACGTCGTGTTCTCTTATTCGCAAACACCAGTTATCAAAGCCAAACCCGATGCATGTCATTCACACCAACCGGCGCGGACTCCTGTTTATACAACAGCTCCACGCAGACAAACGTTGCACATGTAGTCCTTTATTGCGTATCAGTAAGACCCATGTGACTTTCCGGAGGCTCAACTCTCTATATTCGGCTGAATATTAGCGTGTTAATGAAAGGTAGGGTGCATAACGCTGTGATTAAGCCAGTGTCACTGTGTGGATCAGAAACCTGGTCATTTCACAGTGAAGATACTAACCACTTGACTGTGTTTGATCACTAGTATTTTCGGAGTACCGCTTACATTTGATGTGGACGCCGGATGCCGTGGTTCATGAGTTAGCTTTTAGCAAGAAGTCCTCTGGTTCCTCATTGAAGCGTTTGCTGAATATTAACCACTTACATTGACTAGGTCATGTCCTCCTTATTCCCGTTGACCGACTTCATCGGCATTCGTTATACACCGTTGCGGCATCGAGATGGGTGCAACTGCTAGGTGACGATTCGATAACGTTTCATAAGATCGTGAGGAAACTGACCGAGGGACTTGGTCAAGCTGGTGCGTACCGCCTTCCTGGATGTGGGTCCCGGGATGGTCCACATCATTGGTTGGAAACTACCAGACAGCGCAGGCGCGCAATTAGTAGCATTCCTGCATTCGGTTTCTTGCTGTTTCTAGCCGTTGACTTTCCTTCCCGATTACCTTTTCGTACTTCAGTTTTCATTCCATTTCATGTGTATTGCATTTAGTAGTGTTGATGTTTGTCGCCTTCGCGGAAAAGATTTTCTAGATCGACCACATCAGTGGCTAGGTCATTCATCGTTCATTGTACAGGTGAGCTAGAGTTGGAAAACACATGTATTGTGCCGTAGTACCTAAGAAAATAAGAAAAACCTACAACCGAGACACTCTAGCTGAGCCACCAGCAACAGATGGGCATCGTTCCGGAGAGCTAACAGCCAGCTATTGTGCCGCATCAAAGTTACGTTATTGCTAGTAATTGAGATCGTGGTTGGAGGTGGAGGCTTAACTGGAGGGGGAGCGACAAAGGAACTCATTATTCGGGTTCACTTGGTGACCAGTTGTTAAGATGTGCTTGGCGATAGATGATGACTGACTCCGATTCATTCTGTGGGATGCTACGTTCTGTTGCACCATCATTTGTTCGACTCACTGACAAGTGGTCGGTCACCCTCTGAGCCAACCGATGGCTAGCTTACCTATGTAAACATCACCGCAACTGCAGGTGAACTGCTAAACCACATGTGAGGCCGAACTAGCCGAAGGGTAGCTCTGACGATCTTGAAGAACCAGTTTACGTGTAGTGTACATGAGGCGCAACTGGGCACTCGTGTACGTGCGCGTTAGGGCGCACCTGAGCTTATATTCGATATCATTTGCCACATGGTCCCCCTTGAACGGCAGAACGAAATAGTCAGTTTTTTCTCCGCCCTTTATACCGACAGTTTCTTCTCGGGGGGTCTGCTATGCCCGTGGATGAGCTTTTCGGAATAACCATTGGATACTAAGGTCCTATACAGAAACTTTCCTTCAGCTTCCAGCAATTCCGGGCTACAAACTCGTTTTCACTAGATCGCGTTTATATGCTACGGGGGCGAAACTGTAAAAGTGAAGGTACTACCCACTCCAGGTCGCATTGCGGTAAACAGTCCGCTGCAGTGTACCTCCATCCCGTTCCTTGATGATGATATCCAAAAATGGCAGGCAGCTATGTTGTTCTATCTCGTGGGACTCAGATAAGTTGGGGTGAATTGAATCCAAAGTGGTTAACAGTCGCGAAAAATGTTCACTACTGTTGAATACCAAAATATAATCTACGTATCGTCTGTACAGTTTCGCCTCACCAATACTGGCAGCAACTTGCCTTTCAATCATGCCAAGAAAGATATCTGTCGAAACCGCTCCCAATGTGCTACCCATGGCGATCCCGTCACAATACACATGCCCCTGAACACTGAGAATAGAGAGCGAGAAGATAAAAATCGGTGGTGCTCCATCGTAGGTGGATCGGACACATGCGCGGAATCACGTCGTTGATTACTGTGCGGTGGCAGCATATTTCAGCTGCACTACATTTTATCCGGATGCGATACGCTCCCTATACCTGTAGTCCGCAAAGTAGGCGTCAACGAACATTTTAGATTCCTACCCCGATTTAATCGCTTAAATTCCGACACCGATTTAACCTCGACTAGTGTTTGGCAATTTGTTCCAGTATTTCACCACTCAACGCATAGAGGGTGAGCGATGTACTTTACTTCCGGTATCACTAGTTTGTACCGATGTCTGCATGTGCTGCTTGGTGCGCGAACGTGCAGCAGCGGCTTCAGCGTGGCAAAGTGGCCAAGGTGCAGCATCCGGTGTGTCATAATGAGATCAACTCAAAACCGATGATATGATAGGGTATAAAGCCTTAACCTCCTACATCATTCCTCCTACGACACCCCCTAAACTGGGGATGAGCCGGTTAACTACGTGCTGTACCCCTTCTAGTCTCTCCACTTCACCTATTGTGATCAAGCAATTGGCGGGTGATCCGTACTCAGGTACCAGTCTTAACCGGCTCCTACACATGTCAATAAGTGTATCCTAGTAAACGGGTTCCTCGTCTTTCGAACCTCAACCAGGGAGCCTAAATGTTCCAACCGAGGCCAACTTCGAAGTGAGGGCCTTCACTCTTTTTGACCAAGTAATCGATTGGCCTCCCTTCCTTTTTTTCCATCCACACCCCGTCGCACAAACAGCGCACTTCGCGAGAGTCGGTTTGCGGACATGCGTAACACGTGGCCCAGCCATCGCAGTCTGGTTTCGTGGTATGACGGTCTTGAGCCAGTAGTTGGGTGCTCTCTTAAATACGCTATAGTCACGTGGCCATCGGTGCGTTGACATCCGTTTCTTCATTTCTTTTCCTTAGTTACTTTTTCAGACTGTTTTATCTCATATTATTATGAAACTATTTTTATTGTTATCAGTACCATTCGTAGTATTAGTATGGTCTCTGAACCACAACTTCTCTACTTGGATCTTTGTTGATAACTTGAACCGTAGTGCATGGGTTTGTACCGAATTTTATAGAACACCACTAGGAACTGACCAGACCAACATAAACGCGAAATGTTCCTCTAAGGATGAATTCCAACAACAAAGTCAGATATATTTCTCGACTGTGTAAAATGCAGTACAACTAGGTGCTCTGATCATTTAACCAACTAACAATCGTTGCTTTACTGAGGCCAGCAGCTTTAATGAAGTCCAGCTAAGAAGCTGTTATCGAAGGAACTGGTTCTTTTGTGTAAAAATGCAATAAACAGGTTGGATGGAACTTCTTCCTGGCAAAGTTTTGCTGCGCGTTACCGATCAAGTTATGAATAGTTCGTTTATGGAGCACTCTCAATACGTCTCATTGCATTGTTAGCGGGTTAGACGAAAGTCTTCTGCATCCACTCCACCAGTTATCCACCTAAAGTACTTGTCCTTTTAATAGCTTGTCTCCAATCTGAGTGCGCTTTAAGACACAAGTGATCAAAAGCCGCTACTGCCCTTCTTGACAACTTATTAGACTCAGTTTCCTTCACTTTTTAAGAAAAAGCTGCTATACACATAGCAAACGGATCTTCTAATCACAAGAGACGCGAAACAACCCGAATCTTTGCAAAGATTCGTAATACCTGTAGCTCGGGTTGGTAGTTAAGGTTTTGATTGGTTCTCCGAGCTTTGCTCAGTAACGTCTTCAGGGCATTGCTGCATAGAGGAAAATCTCACGGAGTGTCCTCGGGACGTAGCGTTTGAAATTGACCTCAATCGGTGCCCCGTGACCTCTGTTGGTTCGATTTTCGACCGCCCAGTTTCATGCTTTCTCAGCTGTAGGTCTGTACAGACCCTGTATACTGCGAAGACAAAACGAAAGGACATCTGATTATGTTTTTCATTCGCAACGGCTACCCACGCAGTTTCATCTGAAGGCACCTAAACCGAAGGAGCGCAACTACACCAAAAATGGGGCAACGTATTGCCTTGCCGTACATCAAAAACGTATAGGAAAAGACAGCCAGACTCCTCATGCCGCACAACCTGATGGTAGCTCATATACCAAATGCGACTTTGAAGCGAATGTTGTCAAGACCTAAAGGAAAACTGGAGGCACACGAATGCCGAAATGACGTCTTCAGGTTACAGTGCGAAAACTGTGAGAAAGACTATGTGGGTCAAACGGGGAGAAAACTATATACAAAAATACAAGAGCACAAGCGTACTTGCCAATACCATTATGCATCGTCACAGATCCCAGCACATCCCGATGAGAAAGGACACAACGTTAACTGGGACAACACAGAAATTCTGGTGCACGGAGGGATAAGAAAAGGAAGCGAGTTCCTCGAGGCATGGTTCTCTACGGATAATTCAATGAACCTCCACATTGACCTCGATGCAGTGTACCTACAGCTGGGAAAGCATGCAATTGGGCGGCCGAAAATCGAACTAACAGAGGTCACGGGACACGAATCGACTCGGCCAATTTCAAACGCTACGTCCGGACGTCACTGTCCGTGAGATTTTCCTCTACGCGGCAGTGCACTGAAGATGCCACTGAGGGAAGTGGTAAAACGTTTGCCATTAAATTACTCAGCTCGGAGAACCAGTCGAAACCTTAATCCGAATATTTAATGTTTTCATAGCAGTGACATTTAATAAGTGAAAACACTCTACTGAGGCCTTTCTGCCCTCTGGCGCTGGAGGTCTATCAGCGAGATACGGATAGTATCATTCAGAGAAAACCTTGTCTTGATAACTTCAAACGCATCACGTTTTCGTTCTTTTTCTAGCGTGTTTTATTATCGTTATTACCGAGGTGACGCAAGTCAAAGTATACGAGCCCATTGCACTTCGGTGCTCGGACCATAGTTGATTAACAAGGCAATAGAACCCATTTGTTTGTAGCACTGCGCCTCATTTTAAATAGTGATTTGGCTACCCCATTATCTCTTATGGGCGGCTTTCCGGATCGTCTGCCTCTTCTTCAGGCTTCAAAATCCTGTATTACCTTCCTATTTCGTGGGCTTTTTTTGCGCAGCTCTACCAAGAATCTTCTCACTCGATGTGGCATTCCTTTCACTTACTTGAACATCGAAACACCTCCATCTGAACAACCGAGACTAAATGAACCCTACTGGTTCCGTCCGAAAGGTATCGCCCAGCGTAACCTTGGCTTGCAATGGCTCCGCGAAACTTTGGTTCCCGGTCAAAACTCCGGAGTGTTATACATAGCGGATGATGATAATACATACAGTTTGGAGTTGTTTGATGATGTAAGTTTTCATCAATATTACAACTGCTTTTTGCGAGTACAACAAATCCGTGTTTTCTAAGCATTCCGTATGTGACTAGCTCACTTTTTAGATGCTTCTCAGTATTTTTCTGGCTTTCATTGAATTTATATTATGCATCCTTTCGACATTGGCAGCCCGTTTCTTCGTTTGATTGCCTACCTTGACTCACTAACACTTGTAGACGCTCTAATTCTCTGTCGTAAACGCGTGGTATCTCATGCTTGTGGACTAGTTTCTCAACATTGCTATTCAATACACTCCCCCTACCCTAGTGTCCCGGGTTGCATCACTCATCCGGCAGCTTCACATCTGAATTTTCAATGTACCGCGAGTCATGCTTGTCTCTAATACGGAACGACACTGATCAACAAGACGGGCATTTGTATACAAAGATTAGTTTATCTGTTTTCATTTCGTCATATACTCGGTAGATCAAAGTCGAATCTTGTCTACTCCTAAAGCCGTCATTTGGACACCCGGCTTGTGGTATTACCTCTACTCCCATCCGCTTGTGCGCCTAACCAGATTATTCATCAATCACCGCTGAACTTTACCGATGAGATAATTGGTCAGTTATCTGACTCTGTTTAAGCACTATCGATTTAGTGGGATCACATTGTGTATCTAGGACGTTGTTAAAAGCAAGTAGCTGCACTTGTCATTGGTATGAAGCGATTGCGATCGGTTGAGTTGATATGATCCTAGGTGACGCAGGAAACGCATCTATATGCACCAACAACTCATCTCGACCGTGTATTTTTTTAGACGGCCTTCCACTCTTTCGCTATGCATCCCTAGCTTTTTTCAATGGAAAGGCGGTGTTGCAATGAATCGTGTTCAAATTAGGCTGGACCTTACCGTGGTGCGATGGTTTGCGTGCTTCAGAGATCGCTTGAGCTATGCTGGGTGGTGCTTTTTGTGCACCTTCACAGCCATTCATACCAGATTGGTCAATGGTTAGAGGCCAGACAAACTCAGTCTCTTGATCCTCCAGGATGGGGGTTGGAATGAGGTGGCTCCTTATTCCTTAAAACGGACTCCTTGTAGCTCAGTGCCAAACCCGCTGCCTTGCGGACAGGTTTTTGAACCAAAAGCTAAGATTGAGGACCCTAATCGTTCTCCTGTCTAGGCCTGGGCAACCAGACAATATTCTGTTCACGCAACACAATGAATCTCTCTTCAAACAAATTCCTGATGCTCTGGGCACCGCAGAGGATAATCAACATTGCCCTATCTTCTGCATCGAGTAGGTTGGATAGGGGTTTGGATGCGACTGCTCATGTCTTCCTATCTTCTTGTTCATTCTCTTACGCTTCTTTTTACCCTTATCGTCCCGTTCCAGCCTTAATTTTATCCCTCCTGTTTTCAACCGCTCGGTTCTTCGCTCTCCCCCACCTTGCTTTGTTAGGCGTTTCCAACTCACAAATGAACTCGGAGCGTCATTCTTGTCCTGTTGACAAGCCTATGTCTGACTAAGAGGTCCACTCCAGTTCATCGGCTTCCATATGGAGCCCTCGATTCTCCTTCAGATTGGAATGCCTCTATGTACGGTCATGGCTACAGATCGGTCAATAGGCAGCACTTGCCGGAATATTAGAGACCCTCTCGATTGATATCTGCTGCTTATCTGAGACCCGCCTGCAAGCCTCGGGCTCTGTGCTCACACTGCGATCCCGTTCAGTTGGCACCAGCAGTATTTTCTCATTGCGTCTCTCCAGTAACGATGCACTTTCGAGCACCGGCCAAGCCGGTGTTGGTATTGCCCTGAGTCCCTGGGCTGAAGCTGCTCTGGTTGATTGGATCCCAATCAGTAGCCGGATGTATGCGATCCGATTGGCTGGCTCGTTCAAAGCTTCGAAGTCGCGCGGGACTAACTAGTGTCTTTACGTCATGGCTGCCTATGCACCCACGAACTCTAGCGATGATTCGGTAAAAGACGATTTCTATCGTCAATTGAACGAGCTCCTTCGCCACAGAAGATGCTCGGACAGTGGCGATCTGAACACACAAGTTGGAAAAGTATCCACTGTTGAACTGCATCTGAGCGGGCAACACGGTGCAGGCTTCCGTAATGATAACGGTGAGCGGTTACTTCATTTGTGTGAGGATGCTCGCTTATTTCTTGCGAGCACTAATTTCCGACACAGCATCCGCCGGAGGATGACTTGGCGCCCACCAGCCTCGAACCAGCTATGGACGCAAATCGATCACATTGCTATCAGTTACCGCTGGAGAGGCTGCGTCCAGAGCTGCCGCTCGATTTGGAGCACATGTATGGACACTTGTATGTGCTGACCTGTGGATGCGTTTTGGTGGACACCCACGACGGGGTTGTGAGCGCATTGACACCGGCCAACTGACGAAGCCAGCTGTTCTGAATGCTTATCGAAATACGCGCTCGTTGGCTACAGTCGAAGGTCACTGGTCTCATGTTCACCAGACCTTACTAGCAGCAGGCAAATTATCATGTGGTAAGTCTAATCACCAACATGGACATTGGATCTCTTCGCAGTCTCTGGAAGTTATAGATGCTCGCCGGCATATTCCGGCTGGAAGCGAACACAATGAAACTCGCAAAAAGCTCTGGGCAAAACTCCGTGCTAGCCTCAAGAGAGAGCGCGAATCCTCGTCAGTGTTGGTAACGGACGCTGCCCTTGGTAACCATGGTAAGTTATTCCGTCTGATACGAGAAACGGTCAGCAGGAGACCTGGTGTTAGTGAAACTATAAGTGACGAGTATGGACAGCCTATCCACAACTTGTCAAACCATTTGGAGCGTTGGACTGAACCCATGGAAAGGCAATTTAATCGGTCGGAATTGTCACATTCCTCCGACACTGATCTTCGTGCTCCCTCAGCTGTCCTTTTGGATTCGACTTCTCACTCAGAAGTCGAATGTGAGATCGTCCTGATGTAGGTGAATAAAGCCGCGGGACCAGATGATTTTCTCCAGCCTTCTTCAAAATCGGGAGGCTTGATCTTTTGGATGATTTACACGAATTGTTAGTGAAACTGTGGGACCAGGAAACTGTCCTAATCGACTGGAGCCGCTCCGTCATAGTCCCAATTTTCAAGGAAGGCTCACGATCCGAATGTGGCAACCATAGAGGAATCAGTCTGATCTTCATCGCCTCCAAATTGCTTGCCTCTGTTGTCCTTCACAAACTGACTGACACTCGCTGAAAGCCATATCCGTGAAGAGTAAACCGGGTTTCCTCGAGGTCGTGGCTGCATTGACCACGTCTTCAGTTTCCGTCAGTTGTCGAAGCACCGTCACATATGTTGGCGGCCCACCGTTGTCGTGTTCATCGATATCAAAGGTGCATTCGATTCGGTGGATCGACGTGCGCTTTGGGACTGTCCACTCAGGAAAGGTGTACCTGAGAAATATGCAAATATAATCCGAGCACTACGCGCGTAACTCAGGCGGAGGCGGGGCTTACGGCAAGCTGTCGTGGCCCTTTAATATCTCCAGCGGTGTGGGACAAGGATGCCCGCTGTCACCTTTCCTCCTCAACTTCGCTATTGACGAACTCATGGAGATCGCGTTCACAGGACACGACTTAGAAGGTGTGGATCTGCTCCCAGGAGAACGACTTCTTGACTTGAGTATGCTGATGATATTTCTCTAACCTGTGACAGTTCACAAACGTGCCAAGCGGCACTGGACAGAGTACCACTGGTTGTCCGTCACTTCGTGCTTTGCTTCGCACCCTCGAAGTGCAAAGCGTTCCTCCAAGATTGGTCTGGACCGCGTCCTACGCTGACTGTTGGTGGGGATCAGCTGCAAGTCGTCCACAAATTCAACTACCTGGGAAGTTGTATCAGCGCCCGTGGGATTGAAGGTGAGATCACGAACCGTATAGCAAAAGCTCGAGGCGTTTTTGCTAACGTTCGCTACTTATGGGGGCGGCGCGACAACACTCTTGCTGTGAAGGGTAGAGTGTACAGTGCAGCGGTACGTTCGAACCTACTGTACGCTTATGCAACATGGCCTCTTAGATCAGCAGACATAACATTACTGGTTACGTTCTACCACCGATGCCTTCGCAGTTTGATTCACATCTGGTGGGAACCCCGAGTGAGCAACGAGCGTGTTCGACGCCCTGTTTGCGGCACAGGAAAAGGAAATGAACGGTTTGGCACAGTTATTTCACGCACCAGACTCTGATGGCTCGGCTACGTGTTACGCATGCCATCACACTGACTCTCGCGACGTACGTTGTTTGCTCGCCGGAGGTGTGGATGAAAGGAGAGGGGTGTCTAAGTGAAGATTTGATTGAATGGAATGGAGGCTCTCACTTCGATTTAGGCCTAGGTTGGAGCGTCTCAACTCCCTGGTTGGGGTCCGAAAGAGGATGAACACGTTTGGCTGGATACACTTGCTGATATGGCTAGGAGCCGACCTCAGTGGCGTTCATGCTGTGAGTTTCTGTTCCATCCCATCCCTCTTAGCCTCCCCTCTAACCACGGCCTCACTTATTAGCCTAATATAGTTTTTCATATTAACTTTTTTGCTACATAGTACCTGGCTGGTAGCTTACCGGAACGATGCCCATCCGTTACTGGTAGCTCAGCTGGCTTGCATCTGTTGCATTTTTCATTTTTTATGACACAGTAGCTGAGGTGTTTCCTACCTCTAGCTACTGTGTATACTGTATGGATGAATGCGGCCGCTCATCCCTGCTGACCGATTGGACCTAACCAGGGACGCGTATCCCTGCACTCGCGGGTTTCATTTCTATGTGGTGGATAGATGAAATGCGCACTGCTTACGACTTCTAAAAAGGGTGAAGCGGTTGCTCAGTACTTTTCCCTATTGCAGTGACTGTTCCGGATTTCCATCGAGGGTCATTGTCGTTTATTTGTCCGGCTGGCGCCATTCTGACAATCAACGAATTGTGACTATTTGCTTAACACATCATATCTAACCAACTGGAAACTGATGCTTGTGAGCAATTTTAGACGATGGCAGCTAAAAACGGAAGTATATTCGGACGTCCTGCGATGACTGTGGATTTGTTAGGTCACGATTATAGGCTTCCTTTGGGAGCTTACTGCTGTGCATGGTTTACTTCATCATACACGCTACATTGCGTCTTCTGTGTTGCATTACCACTGTTTTAGTAATTTCTCTTCAAGTTCTGTAATATGTCGTTATGTGAGAATTTTGCGTATTGATTGTCACAAAGGACTACTGAAAGCGAAGTCTCAATTGTGCTTCCCTGAACACCACCTAACGCTGCTATGAGCCTTTGAGTCAACAGCATTCCTCTCGAGGCCATCCGAAGTCTTTCGTCGATCTGAAGGACGTACTTTGATCATGACCGTACCGCAACGGACAACCGCTTAGCACCTACTCTGCAGAAGTTTCTAGCATTAAGGTGCTCGTTCATTACATTCTCGCACTCTTGAAATGACGACTTACCTGGTTTGCAACATCAGTTTTCGCTGACTACAATGTTCCTTTTGAGGCACGTAGTGGATCACGACACGCAATCTCAATCTGTTCCACGAATTACTGAGGTGAAGGGGTCATTTCGGTCATCTGTAGTCTTGTACTTGTTTTCGGGAGTTAGTAATTCAGTTATTCGAGCGCACGTTAATTAGCCATTATCGCCCCTTCTATTCATGTTCATTTCACTAAGTTTAATCTCTGGTGCAGATTTAATAGTTTCTGAAGTAAACTTCCTTCATGAGCTTTTTTCATGTCAAAGCATTCAATGTTCACCTTCTTCAACTATCGACTTCTATACCCACCTAACTCTGGGTTCCCTCTTTTCCTACTCATGTAGATCAGGTCCACCAAACGCGCTTCCACATGGCCTGTGGGTTTCGCTGGCGAATTACCTTGGGAGGGTTGTGTGACATCTCCGACTAATCGGACACGCATTGTGGACATGTGGGTGGCACATAACCCGCATCGACCTTTCCCTATCGATATGGCCGGATTCGCAGTCAATGTGGACTTAATCCTTACCAATCCATCGGCGCGCTTAGAATACAATCGGCCAGTTGGGATGCAAGAGTCTTTGTTCCTCACCAGCCTCGGCCTAAAACATTGGGATGAGATGGAACCAAAGGCTGACGGTTGCCAAAGGGTGAGCTTTGAGTTCCTAAATTTCGTGCGATTCCGGTCAAACACTGTCTCGTTTCCCACTCTCTCATCCCAATAAAAACCAGTGGTACATGAGTTCGGAGAAGCAGGTTCAACGGATCATCTGTCCGAGTACTGTACACAGTGCCGATAAGCTGAGACACTGGTTGTATTTATATTCCATCCTTGGAACCTTCGATTGGCAGGATAGCTAGACCAGACACTAAAATTAGTTGTGTGATGTCTGTTCAACCAATCTACAAGTGGCCAAAGGTGCCACAAGGTTTCTGATATATATTATGAATTCTATACTTTTTTATTAAAAAAGATTTGGTTTGTATGGAAACCTTTTCCTCTTTTCTATCTATTATTCAACTATTTTCTCATCTCATTCGAGTCAAGTCAGGATAAGCCTTATGTACCCGGTGGGATGCATTGTCAGCATTTTACACTGTCGAATACAAACGATCTAAAACAGCATCAATAACTATGAACAAATTTCACAAATGGAAAAACGAAAAGAGTGCTAGATGTCAATCGCGTAAACAATGCCGCATTTTTGAGCACCGATCGCATATTGCTGAAGAGCATCATAGGGCGTTTTATCCGATTGACGAGGCCGATTTTTCTCAAAACTTTTCTTCACAGATGGTTTCATTTTAGCAAAATTCCCAAACTGCAGGCGGACTCAAATTGTCTCAGTGACCATGGAACTTGTTCAGCCAAAGAATTCGTCAAAAATATTCACACAGTAGATTGTACAAAAAAACGATGTTTCGGCAACGGCTGTTTTGTAGGCCATATAAGCGGCTCATATATCTTCGATTTCAGAAAGAAAATCAAAAGCGATAGGCGAAAAGCAATCAGATTTTTACAGTAATGACTAAAACCGTGATGTTTTTTATCATTCGTTTGATTTTATTTTCCCATCAGGTTCATCACTTACTACATATTGCCCTCCCAACACATCCATCCTGTGTGTAATTATTGCACCTAGTCAAATTTTTACTTTCCCTGCTTTCCGCTCCTACTAAATTCTCAGATCCTTGTCTGGCACACTCGTACCAGCGACCCGGTACTGGCCGAGTGGAGGCGGCTTCAGTCTCAGGGTGTCATTGCTCCACCAATCGACGACACCGCTTGAATCCGATCCCTACATCTCATTGCAAGCGTCAAATTTGCTCCCTCCATACGCCACATCTTCTTGTTACTCTGCGATATCCTTATCCCAAGCACATATAGATTATGTGGTGTTGCCGCTGCAGCCAATTGGACCCTACTGAATCATCCTGATACCGTCGCCCTGTTCTTTTATTCCTGGTACGCACAAATTGCTCTTTGTGGCAACGTATTCATGAGTCTTGTCCGAATATGATGACCTGCACGGCTCGTTTCATGGATCACAGTTGACTGGTCCGTACGGTGCACTCTTCTGAATCTGGCGTACTTGTATGTCCCTGATTACTCCATTCGCCTTCGAGAACGCTGTTAGCCGCAGTATTGACGGTTGAGCAGTCAACTACATGTTACCTCTAAGCGCTTGCAACATCACCAGCGTCAAAAACGGCTTCATGACTGGTGCCTTCGGGATGCAAGGGTTGTGTTGAATATTTGCATGCTCCCATCCCCATCCCATGTCACAGTATACATGGATCGCCACTTGTTTAACAAATTTCCTGCACAATCTGACACTCCGACTCTGTGACGGTTTGCCAGTACAGCTAGGGTCTTTTTCTCCTGCATGACTTGGTTAACCCCTCACTCCACTTCATCTGATTGCTTCTCCACTCTTTCCGGTGATGTACGACCTTTTTTGCGTTCATGTCGCTTGTTGGGGTCTACCTTGCGACATTGTACACTTTAAAACCCTGAAAAATGCTTGGAACGGACTTAGCACTTATGTTTTGCTAATGTTTTGGAAACAATCGCTTAGCCATCGGTACTCTAGCATCTGATCTTCTGCCTCTGACTTTTGAGCCTTATAGGGTTTTTCTTCCTCTCTTCTGCCTGTTTTTTTCTTCCTCCTTTAGTCTCATCCTTTTATCTTTGCACTCGCCCACTGCTTTCTATAACGACTGTCTCCCTCCACTTCCTTCCCCTAATTACTCTTGGTTAGTTGATTTGAGCTTAAAAATTCAACGAAACTTGAGTGATCGAAATAAATAAATCTCGTTGCGATTCAGCTGCAACCATTCCTGTGTCCTAGTTTCTTATGAAATGTGGCACTTGTCATCTAAATATCAGTGTGTCTCGTTCGTGTTGGAATCCAGCGGTACTGTTTAAGTAAATAAATAAAATTTTTATTCTCGATAAAACGAGGCACCTCTATACAGGCATGATCATATTAAGATAACAAAGTGATCAAACATGTGCAAAAATACAACACGTTTGCCGTAACATCGAATGGTTGTGTAGGGGTGTGTATGTTTATGTCCTTTTGATGTAGTCATGAGTAGGGGATTTTTGATGATGCACAACAGTCTAGTGCTTTTCCGGGCATGTGGACGACTATCTGATTCGGAACTGGCTGCGACGGACCCTCAATTATCTATGTAATTACCTGTGTGTAGCTGTGTAGTTTGTACTTGGAAGTGTGCCGCTACATCGTTGACTTTTTGATAGCGTTGGCAATGTGAGAATAGATGATTGATGCTCGTGAGTTGGATAGGATCATCCGGATATTCACAGGGCAGTGACTTTAGTTTGTGGCGTGTCACTACCACCATGTTGCGATGTTGATAAACGGACATTTATGGCTTTTTATAGGGAGAACGTTTGTCAGGCGAAAACCCACCACGTCTTAGAACACTCCCGCCAAACTATTTGTTGGAACGGGTTAAGCCCGAAACACCCAGCTTGCACCACGACGAGGTTGTTCGACTAGACAGTCCGAACTCATCACTGCGTGTAGTAATCCGCTTTGTTCATTTTACTTCGAGTAACTCCACCGTTGCTATATTGTCAGAGTGTAGGGAACGCATCCGTTTTGACATTCATCATTAGGATAGGGATTATTGATAGGGCGATTAACCAACATTTTCAGATAGAGATCATCAAACCGAACTGCGACTTGGAAATGAGGCTGAATCAAAACTGTCGCCGCTGTTGTAACGCTGCCCTCGCCCCTGCTCTCTGCGCTACCAATCAGCCAGGGAAGAAACCAAACACCGAGGTCTTCTAGGCCGAAGTGTATTGAAGCTAGATCATGGTTAATTTATAGGTCACATGTACTCACTTCGCCTTTCCGTCACTCAGGTTATTCACCTCATTCGTCTAGGCAAATTCAACCCTGGTAGCGGTCTTCACTGTCTTGCTGTAATTGCGAGCACGTCCGCATCATATCAACTTGTGCGGCGATGATAAACTCGCTCCGTCAACTGCTCTGGGTTGCGCGGCCAACTGTGTCGTGAATTGCGAACTGAGTGGGTCATCTTCCTTCGTGATCTACTGCAAGCCCAGCTAGTGTCCCGGAAACGTGTCGCGGCATTCATCCCCTGTGGCCAATTAATACTTTTCTAACACTTTCTAATTTACAGAGATGGTCCTTACCGGTGAGAACAATCTGCTCAGTCAACTCATTTGTGACTATCTGATCTTTCATCGGCTGACCACCCAGTTTCACTCACAGCTGCAGCATCATCAGTCAAGGCGTATTAAAGTGGACGGCCAATATGCGCATGTGGTTCCAAGTTAAATTGTCATTTCAGTCTAATTCCAAACACCAAGTGGCTACCTTCGGCACTGCCCAGCAGCTGTGGCCGCTAGTGTACAGCTGCCAGTGAGCAACGCCCTGATCTATACAGTAATCCCGGCTTCATCGCAACTTTTTGCATCTTACATTTGACAGTTTATCACATCGCCCCATGTATGATAGAGTGAAACTCCAGCTATGTTCTGCGGATACGCACAGCAGCCTTTGACTTAAGGCGCTCATGCGGTCGAAGTCGAACGTGAGATCCGACTGTTGAAGTTGAACAAAGCCGCGGGACCAGATGATCTTCCTCCATCCCTCTTCAAATTCGGAGGCCCTGCTCTTGTGGATGCTTTGCATGAATTACTAGTGAAAATGTGGGAGCAGGAGACCGTCCCAACCGACTGGAGCCGCTCCGTTATTGTTTCCATCTTCAAAGGAGGCTCGCGTTCGTAATGCGGCAACCATCGCCTCCATAATCCTTCACAGACTGACTGGCACTCGTGAAAGCCAGATTCGTGAGGAGCAAGCCGGGTTTCGTCGTGGTCGTGGCTGCATTGACCACATCTTCACCTTGCGTCAGTTGTCGAAGCACAGTCACACATATTGGCGGCCCACCGTAGTCGTGTTCCTCGACATCCGATTCGGTTGATCGATGTGCCCTTTGGAATTGTCTACTCAGGAATGGTGTGCCTGAGAAATATGTAAATATTATCCAAGCATTATATGCGCGTAGCACGGGCAGAGTGAGGGCTTACGGCAAGCTATCGCCACCCTTTAATATCTCCAGCGGTGTGAGACAAGGATGTCCGCTGTCACCTTTCCTCTTCAACTTCGCTATTGACGAAGTCATGGAGTTTGCATTTACAGGACATGACTTGTAAGGTGTGGAGCTACTCCCATTAGAACGACTTCTTGACTTGGAGTATGCAGACGACATTGCCCTCATCTGTGACAACTCCCAGACGTGCCAAGCTGCGCTGTACAGATTAGCACTGGCTGTCAGCCGCTTCGGGCTTTGCTTTGCACCATCGAAATACAAAGCGTTGCTCGAAGATTGGCAGGGATCGCCTCCTGCGCTGACCCTTGGTGGGCATCAGCTAGAAGTCGTTCGGAAATTCAACTACCTGGGAAGTTGTATCAGCGCCCTTGGGATCGAAGACGAGATCACGAACCGTATAGCGAAAGCTCGAAGTGCTTTTGCTAACCTTCGCCACCTTTGGCGGCGGCGCGACAACACTCTTGCTGTGAAGGGTAGAGTGTACAATGCAGCGGTACGTTCGACCTTACTGTACGGTTGCGAAACCTGGCCCATAAGATCGGCGGACATGAAGAGGCTGTTTACGTTCGACCATCGGTGTCTTCGCAGTTTGGCTCACATCTGGTGGGAACACCGCGTGAGTAACGAGCGTGTTCGACGCATTGTTTACGGGCCAGGAAAAGGATCTGAACCGCTCAGCACCGTTATTTCCCGCACCAGGCTCCGATGGCTCGGCCACGTGTTACGCATGCCAGCCCACCGACTCCCTCGACGTGCGTTGTTTGCTCACCGGGGATGTGGGTGGAAGAAGAGGAGAGGTGGCCAAGCGATGACTTGGTCCAGGGGAATGAAGTCCCTCACCTCGGAGCTAGCCTCGGTTGGAGCTTCACGGCTCCCTGGTTGGGGTCCAAAAGACGGTGAACACGTTTGGCTGGATACACTTGCTGACATGGCAAGGAGCCGACCTCAGTGGCGTTCATGCTGTGAGTTTCTTTGTCCCTCCCCATCCCTTTTAGCCTCCCCATCCATCTACGATCTCATTTCCTAGGGTAAAACATAATATTTTTTTCTTCTTTTTGCCTAGTAGCTAGCTGGAAGCTTACCGGAACGATGCCTATCCGTTGCTGGTAGCTCAGCTGGCATGCAACTGTTGTATCTACTTCTCCTTTGTGTATTGTATGTATGTATATATTTCCTTCATGTATTACGGCACAATAGCGGAGGTGTTTTTCCCACCTCTAGCTTATGTGTATAATGATGATGATGATGCTCATGCGGTCATATAGCTAAGTAAACCGACCGATCACTTTAGCTGGTTGTATAGTTACAGGAAGGGGGGTGTCTGCCTAGGCCCGCTGCGTCTTTTACTCCGAAGATGCGTACCACATCTCAGAACGTTGCGCTGCTGTGTTATTCTATTCGCCCAGTGTTCGATTCCAGGCATTACCAGCAGGTGGTGCTATCCTCTGTGTGTAACTGGGCTAATGACCAGCCATTTCTGTGCAGTCACAAATCCATCATGGCTCCATCCGCATAGTTCGATATTACTTCCTCTAGTGTATATCACTGTCCATTTTCTGTGAACTCACCAAAAATCCATGGGTCAGCAAATGGCAGCCTACCGTTGTCTGTGGCTCAAGTTATCAACCCAGGTGAAAAGCCGTAGTATCCGCCTGATTCTTAGGTGTATGCTTTTTCATCTGATGAAATGCATTTTGGTGGTCAGCACGGTGTAGGCTCCCGTAATGATAACGGTGAGCGGCTACTTCATTTGTGTGGAAATACTCGCTTATTTCTTGCGAGCACTAATTTCCGACACAACATCCGCCGGAGGGTGACTTGGCGCCCACCAGCCTCGAACCAGCTATGGACGCAAATCGATCACATTGCGATACTTTACCGATGGAGTGGCTGCGTCCAGAACTGTCGCTCGATTCGGAGCACATGTGTG